TGTTGTATTATACAATGTGATTTTAATTTAATGAAAAGTATCTTGTTTTATGAGTCTTGAAAATCTTGACATATGTAACTTTAAGTTTTCTGAAAGTTACGGTAGATTTTGTTGCAACTTAATAAAATGTTTACTCTTCTGCTTGAACTTTACTTACTGTTTCAACTTCAGCCATTTCTTCGCTTGTTTTAAAAGTGTTTTATGATGCTGTGCAAGAAACACTAGAAAGGGATAGCTGACAAGGAAAAAATTAAAAATTGGATAAAAAGTAAATGAATAATGTCATATTACTAAAAAGATGAGAGGCTAATTTGTGCCGACTTTTTGCTAATTTTGTTCAAGCCTCAAAATGAGGAGCTGTCACCCGTTCTGTGTAGCACTGATGACAGTGCCAATGATCCATGAAATAAGCTGCCGCTGGCTTTGTTCTGATAAGAATGAACAAATCTGCACAATGTACGGCTCCCAGAATCTCATTTTCATACTTGCATGCAGGCTAAAAGAAATAAGCTGTTTGCAGGCTTGATTAATCAGACATTTGAGGGTTTTTTTTGTCTCTTTGATCTCTTTCGTCTCCTAGGTAACTTGCTTGACATTAATGTTGAGCTCGAGTAAAGACAATCAGGAATTGTAGACCAAACTGATATAAAAATTAAAGACCTTAACACTTTAAGTACTCCAGTAATGGTTCTGCTATACTTCATAAAACATCTGTTTTCATTTAATTAAAGAACAAAAGAGTGGCATAAATATTTTTCATAGAGACCTGTTATTCCATAAAAAGTTAAAGTATGATAATTGGTATTTTTAAATAAATGCCTTGCAACTGTTCATAAAGAAGAAAGCTTTAGGAATTTGTTACAAGGTAACAATTTCAGATGAGAAATTTCATGAAAAATAATGGGTAAGAAATTTACATTTATGTTACACTAACATCTATAGTAAGATATTTGACATGATTATTGGTGAATTTCAAAATAAAGGTGTTTGCCCTGTAGAAACTATGTTGTTTTTTTGAGTTTATCTTAAAAATATATATACTGTGTTACAAGGATGAACCATTATATCAGCTTTACTGCCCAATATGATTTACACACTTTAAACCTGTAAAATTGAAAGGAATTTAAAAAAAAAAATGTCGCAGTGCGTTTGCTTGAGGTTATGCAGACGCTTTTACAAATCTTCCAAGTGGCTGTAAAGATGAATGCCTCAAGGGTCTAGCCAGGGCCCTGCTTTTCCAACCAGCTAAAGCCCTTATCTTAAATCCAAGCAAAGTACCATTAATCTTTTTGAAAGACCTTTTATGGCTTTTAATATATCCCAAATTAGAACATTTTACACCCTTGGTTCCTGAAATATGGTGATAAAAAGCCTTTAGAGCTTAATTTTCCTTACTGCGTGCTCTGACCAATTTGCAGTTCTTTGTGATAATGTTTAGACACCTTAATTAAAATGCAGCAAAATATTGGATGTTCTATATGGAAAATGCTGATACTTTGACTACACAAGAAATTGTTGTATATATTTTTATTCATGTTTTCTTGCTGCTTTAACATTGTATTTTATTGAGTTATCTGATGACCTGAAATGTTTGTGGTTTTTTTTTTTTCTTAATGAAAAACCTATTGACCAAGCTTTTAGGGATTTCTTCTGGGAGGAGAAGTGAAGATGTATGTTTTGGTGTGGGAGCAGAAGATGTTTAATCTGACAAAAATTGTGTGTGTTTGTGACATATTTGTTTTCATGTCTTGCAAATGTGTCTCTGTGTAGCTTAGAAATGATAATATTAATGCTGCAGAATGCATCTCCTTTTTCTTCCACATTTACTACAGAGGATCTCATTATCCCATTTTTTCCATACTTTCCAAAGGTGGAATAATTCATTCTGCCTTCCAAGAAATACAGATCAAAAGATTTTTTTTTTCCTCAGCACTTGTGCAGACCTCAATTGTGTGTAATTATAGGTGTATAAATGTATAATAGGGCCACTATAACATATTTCAAGGAGATAAAGTTATTCCACACATGGTAAGAGTTTATTTATGAATTGCATTTTATCTCCTAATATACTCAAAAATTACATTTAAAAGGAATAGAACTGCTGATTGAGTACACTGTCCAGTCATCAGATTGCTCTGTTTTTCACCTAATAAGTAATCCAGTCTTAATTAACTAGTAATTATTTCTTAAATATTTTAGTTGAACTTGCTTAAGCATTTTTATAGTTCAAGTTATCACAACTAGTAGCTGCACTTAAATTAGTCAGAGACTGCCAGAGTATAGCATTCTCTTATTTACATTGCCACTTAATATTTAAGATTTGGCAGTTCAGATGTTAGCATTGAATTCTGATTATATAAAATGTTCACGCTCAGGAACAAATAAATAATATAGCTGATGATATAAAAGTTTTGATATGTTTCATCACATGATCTAGATTGTACATCAAGCTAATACCATAGGCGCATATTTATGACCCAAAACACATGGAAAAGCTAGATGAAATATTTTTTTTTGCTTTAGTCATCTTACACAATTCCTTTAAAAATATTATGCTTACTTTTTAACTGCTTGTGTCACCACAGTGCTTAGGGCCTCAAAACACAAACTGATGTTGTGCTTAGTGCTTTACATGCAAGCAGACTCACAAAGCCTTCTGCAGAATGATTGCTTTCTTGCATCATAAATGAATGAAAGTGTCAAAAGGAGAAGAGCTTGGAGTGATCAGCAAGACAGCTGCTTCCCACCCCCACCCCGCCTTAAACTAGTAATCAAGGTTTCAACCTGCAACTTCTCTAGGTGTTAAATGGGAGAGTTCTAAGGATAGATGTTGAATATATACCACTACGTCTTTACATGAAAATGAATTCTTGAGTTGAGTTTCATCTCATTGGATGAAACATCTTCCAGAGTAAATATAGATGTATAGATGCAGCAGACTGAAACGTGTTACTATGAAGCACAGAACTTTTACTGAAATTTTAAAGTCTTCTATCACTTGATCTTCCATGCCTCTTTTATTTGATTCTCCAAAGACTGTTTGGGAAACTTAGAATATCTAGTCAGAAGTATGGTAGTTGTCTTCAGTAGGCTTTGGACTGAGTAGAAAGAAACCCCATTTTGTCAGCATAACAGCTCATAGCAGTTTTGGTTGAATGAATTGCTTTTTTTGTCTTGGAGGAAAGCAGTAATTTTTGAGACCAGATTCTTCAGTAAATCAAATTCAGTTGCAAATAGTGCTAAGTAATGACAGCGATCATAGAATATAACAAAAATGAACAATTAGTTATGAATGTTAACCGAAGAAGAAAATGGGTCATAGTTCACAGTACCATCTTCCCTCCTGCCTTTTTTTTTGTTGTTGTTGTCTTCCTCTTGGCATATGCTAATGTGAATTTAATTCTCATGGTGTGAATAAGTTTATCAAAGTAAAGTAGTATTAACCTGCTGCCTATTGAGACCTTGTTTGAAAAGCATGCATACTATGACACTAATAATCTAAAAGCTGGTAATGTGGAGACTAAATGCTAGATGGACTTTGAGGACACTGCTTCATTAAAACATGACTACTGGTACTACTGGAAAATGTATGGCAGTAGCAGTTCTTCATGTAGAAAGCTGTCATTTTGTGATGTTTCTTACCAGTAAAACCTGACACTATCACTTTAAAAAAACGGAGGTCGCAGGCTGGTCTTAATAATAGAGAGAGATACATAAATGTAAAGGAGGGAAGTGGAGAGGCACCGCTATTGTCCTTTGCTTTTACAACCTGCAACTTCTCTAGGTGTTAAATGGGAGAGTTCTAAGGATAGATGTTGAATATATACCACTACGTCTTTACATGAAAATGAATTCTTGAGTTGAGTTTCATCTCATTGGATGAAACATCTTCCAGAGTAAATATAGATGTATAGATGCAGCAGACTGAAACGTGTTACTATGAAGCACAGAACTTTTACTGAAATTTTAAAGTCTTCTATCACTTGATCTTCCATGCCTCTTTTATTTGATTCTCCAAAGACTGTTTGGGAAACTTAGAATATCTAGTCAGAAGTATGGTAGTTGTCTTCAGTAGGCTTTGGACTGAGTAGAAAGAAACCCCATTTTGTCAGCATAACAGCTCATAGCAGTTTTGGTTGAATGAATTGCTTTTTTTGTCTTGGAGGAAAGCAGTAATTTTTGAGACCAGATTCTTCAGTAAATCAAATTCAGTTGCAAATAGTGCTAAGTAATGACAGCGATCATAGAATATAACAAAAATGAACAATTAGTTATGAATGTTAACCGAAGAAGAAAATGGGTCATAGTTCACAGTACCATCTTCCCTCCTGCCTTTTTTTTTGTTGTTGTTGTCTTCCTCTTGGCATATGCTAATGTGAATTTAATTCTCATGGTGTGAATAAGTTTATCAAAGTAAAGTAGTATTAACCTGCTGCCTATTGAGACCTTGTTTGAAAAGCATGCATACTATGACACTAATAATCTAAAAGCTGGTAATGTGGAGACTAAATGCTAGATGGACTTTGAGGACACTGCTTCATTAAAACATGACTACTGGTACTACTGGAAAATGTATGGCAGTAGCAGTTCTTCATGTAGAAAGCTGTCATTTTGTGATGTTTCTTACCAGTAAAACCTGACACTATCACTTTAAAAAAACGGAGGTCGCAGGCTGGTCTTAATAATAGAGAGAGATACATAAATGTAAAGGAGGGAAGTGGAGAGGCACCGCTATTGTCCTTTGCTTTTAGCAGTTCTTTTTAAATGGAAAAAATAGGTATGAAAGATTGCCTGCCCAGGATCCCACTCCTTGGTATATGTCTTAAGACATTCTTGCCCATCCAGATCTATAGTAACAGCATCAGCCTATTAGTTGAAAGATACTAAAATATCTCTTGGCTTTTGAGAATCGGTATTAGACCAACTCATTTTTGGGGCTTACGTTTCATATGAGCCATTTACTTCAATTCCATTTCCTTTTGTTCCTTTTTACCCCTTAGCTTGGGGTGAAAATTGCCAAAGCCGCTGCTTGCCGCAACTTTGTAAAAGCCAAACAAGAAGCAGAGGCTGCCCAAGAAGCTAGAAAGAAAAAGAAGCTTGCTTGGGGGTAAGTCATTTTGAATACGGAATTAAATATTTGTGGTTTCATTGGTACTGAATTTATACAGTGCAATTTCAGTTAAATGTTTTCTTAGTTGAAATAGGCTTGTACTAATCTTATTTGCTAGTTTAACCTTGGGTTTTTTGTTTTCTTGGGTTGTTTTGTTGAGACTAAATCGGAAGGCTTTACCAGAATGAATGTTGGTCATGTTTACATTTGCCTTGTCTCTTTTTTACAGTGTTAAAAAGAAGCTTTGATTTTTGTCATTACTGCTAAGTATGGTATAGTTGAATACTTGCATGTATGTTCATGATTCCTAATGTGTATTTTGTGTTGCATTTCAGATTTGAAGCTAAGAAAAGATGGGAAACAAAAAGCAACATGGGATACATGTAATTCATGTTGTTTACCTCAGGAGTCATATGCCTGTCTTTATCTGCAGAATCTTTGTGGGTGACTTGTTCTCAAATCTAAACCAAAAAACAATGCTGCTATTTAAAAAAAAAAAGGCATCTAATTCTTTGTGTTGCTTTTCATGCTGTTACAGTATCTTGTTTCAAGTCTCTATTACAAAGTAGCAAAAATACTCATAGAAACACTCTCTTGACATTTAGGTAGTATTGTTCACCAAAATGTGAAAATCTAGGATAAAGCATTGTAGATAATACCATTTTGGAGTGATAGTGTTCTGTAAAGCAGTAATAAAATATTTGATCCGAATGTGTTCTGTCATGTGTGATTATAATACAGTGGTATGTGGGTACAGGGAGAGGGATAAGTTGTCCCTTTATGTGTTTTCCTACTAAGTTATACAGACCTACTGCAGCAAGTACTTTTTTCTTTAATGCAGACAGTGCTTCAGGGTTTCTCTTTTTTTAAAAAAAAAAAAAAAGAAAAAAAAGAAGGGGGGGAGAGGAGAGAGGCCAATAAACCCACCCTGCCTGTTTAAAACTACTATTATTTCTATGTATGGCTTCATTGCTTAGTAAACAGGGAAAAAATCGTTGAAAAAAGTCCATTCTCCCTCTCCTGGGAGGATCTGATAATATTCATCATGCCCTGGTGCCTTGGTCTTCAAAATGCTTCAAATTTCTCTTTTGCCTTTCTTTGCAAGAGCTCAAGTTTTGAAGTCCCAATGTCTTTGAGCAGATAAAGTGTAGAAATGCATTTCTCAAAATATCTAAACTCCATTATATTGTGCAGTTAACTTACTGCACCCAAGAAACAAATGCAGATTTTTATTCCATGTCAAGTGTTTTACAGATCAGTCGTGATTTGAATGTTTGTTATCGTCAATTCTTGTTACTAGTGTTTCTTCAGTGTTCTTCTCAGCGAAAAGCAAGGACGCATTCAAAACTAATAACTCTTTCCTGAAGCTTTCACATGTATGTTTAGTCACCACAGTGCCTGAATTGAATTGGTAATGTAAATGTCAGTTACTGTTAACTAAGATTAATATGTTTCAAGCCAAAGGTATGGTATTAGTGTAATGGTGATTTACTACTTAAGTACTTGAGGCTAAAACAACTTGCCAACAAATAGCAATTTGAAGTTTTACAGCACCAATTCAGAGAGTTTAGGTTTGCAGTCTAACATGGAATAGTGCATTTTTGTTTATTAGCCCTCAGGATGTTTTATTCTTTTTTTTTTTTAGCAAAACATCATATTTTTTAAAGATGAGAGTTTGCAGTATGGTAATCTGCAGTTAGCTGTAATTAGTTAGGATGACAGTTAAATACAATTGCCAGGACTGTAAATCAGGGGCTAAACAGGTTTCTGCAGTAGAGCATCATAAATTTTTTTTTTTTTTTTTTTAAATAATGTGTGGGCTGTAGGCTCTTTGGCCAGCATGCTGAGTGTTTGGCAAAGTCAGTAGAGAGGTATTTTTTTTTTTACTTCTTGTAAACAAAGCAGATTGCACTATCCACCTTCATCTAGATCCTTCTTATGTGCAGTAATGCCATATTTTCGTTTAGCTGGTTAGTGAAAGCAAGTGTTATACCAGTTTCTTAAAGATACTGTTAAAATATTTCCAAAGGCATTAGGTTTGTGCAAAATACTTCTCAAAAAACTTCAGACTACAGGCACTAAGGACCATGGTGTTCTCAAATTTTTTTTTTTTTTTAAAAGCACTTGGTAGGTGTTAGATGCAATTGACCCTTCTGCTTTTAATACAATGAAAAGCAAAATGATGCTGATAATTTTGTGCTGAAAACATCAGCAATATTCCGTTACTTATCAGTAGCTTGTATTTGACAAAAATATTACAAATTTTCTCTTAATAGTTACTGGTCAAATAAAAATCTTCATCTAATAAGAAGGTGTATTAATGCTGTTTGATACAGAATATGTTACAAAAGCAATCCAAACCCTCAAACAAAAACTTGCCATTGTCTGAGAACTTGCTTCCTTGTATTCACTTCAACAGTGCGTACCCATGTGTAATATTTTTCACTTTCACTTAAAATACATAATTAGTTTTATGTTAGGCCATTAATAATGTAATTATTTAGGAAGTACATAAAATGTCTGCTTTGGATTACTCGTGATGAATTAAAAAATGATCACATTTCAAGTATTTTGGTGTATCTGAAGTCTTTGCTTAACATGTCTCTAAATTTGCAGAGTTATACCATGTTCCAAAAAAATTAAAATCTAATCAACAGGGAAAATACAAAAAGCCTAATAGAGCCACATAGCAATCTGAATATATAGAGATAACTTACACCCATAACTGGCATTTAATAAAATCCTTCTAAATTACTGATCTGATTCGTACATGTTTTACATTGCTGCCACTTCTTGTAGCACAGTTGTGCTCTGAATTTTGGCCAAGCAAGCAGAACTACTTTGTAAGCTGTTAAATGTAGACTTTTTTAAAATTTTTATTTAATTTATTTTAGTTGATGCTTGTCCAAATGCTTGTTTTGGATAAGCGAAACCTTTTTCTAATCAGCCTAACTAAATTTGAACTGTAAAAAGCAATTGTTCTAGTAAATGAAAAGTTCCAACACTGTCTCTTGGTCTGGCTGAAATCAAGAATTTAGAGGAATGTACTTCTATCATTAATTTCAGTGCAACCCTTTTATGTGCACAAGGTAAATATTTATTGGTATATATTTGATGGTATCTTGGATTAGGTCAGTAGTTACAAAGGCAGCTCCTCCTTGCCTAAGCTCCTTCCTGTCCTCGGAAGCCTTGAGAAACTCAAATCTGTGCATTAGTTTTGCCCCAATATTTTTCTCCACCACAGTTTCATATTCAAACTACAGTCATGATATTCCCTTAGCTACCCTTAATGTTCAAGAAAGTGTTGGTGGCTTCCTAAGTGCAGTTGTCCAGAGAAAACAGCAGAACTAATTTTGAAACAGGAAATGTCCTCTCACAATTATCCATTGCTCTTTGAACTAGAGTTGTATCTTGAGCTACCTGGTTTGGTCATAGCTGAGTTACGTGTGTACCTTTGCCAGCAAGGCCTCTTGGCTAAGTTTATTAGCTCAGGTACTTTAACATAGTGAGATGGTTAAACTGCTTTTGGTGTTACAGTAGACCTGGTGGATGACAACTTACAGCTCTCTCTGCTGTTTCACTGGGCAGTGTAGATGTTCTTTTACTTCAGTATAAGCTTCTCACACACACAGATGTCACTTCTACCCCATCTGGAGCTAGTCCAGACTCTTGTTCTTGTAAATCTATTGTGTTCTCAGGCCTAAAAATCTAAGAATAAAATTGTTTATAAACTCCCCTGATAAAATACACCCGGTTTGAAGTTTGACAGCAGCATACTAATACAATTACCAGTGTTTCAAAATACCACATTCCTGAGCTTCTAAACCAAAGAGTGGCTGCAGGGACAGTTTGTCAGATAAATACATATATATATAGTTGTTAGAGTTTTAGTAGTTTTTTGCCTGAAACCATAATCTGTATCATTATTTTTTAGTTTAATTCTGTTGGACAAGTTTCAAAGATAAATATGGTGTGTAATAAGCCTTTGCAACCTCTAATTTGTGAAGGAGTGTCTGTCCAGTTAATACTTGTTCATTGAAGCAAGGGGTTTTGAAATAGCTGAAGTACGAACTGTAATTACTGATGTCTGTTTCCTATTCACCTATGGGTTTTGGCATTTGATCAAAAAAATTTAACGTATTGCTTAATCTCAGAGCTTTCCCCACCTTCAAAAATATTTACTTCATGAGAACTGTACAGTACTGAATTACTTCAGCGAGAGCAGAGTAGATTTTTATTTGGCATTGATTATATATAGTTAATTTGCCAGCAAATATTTTTCCCAGTGCTTCTGAATGTTGTTAATTCAGATATTCATGTATTTATAATACATCCCTAGTGCAAGTTCAAAGCATTTAAAAAGGCATTAAATATGCTGAGGGTTTTTTAACTTCACAAATGAGATGGCTAATAAAAAGAATACAAAGGTTGAGCAACTTATGCAAGGACAAACTGCGATCTGACAGCAAAGTCGCAAATAGAATCTGTTTCTGGTTTCTGCGTGTGCTGTTCTTCATAGCTGGAAACAGAACGAAGAAAGAAGTCTCAAAAGAACAAATGTCAGACAGATGCCCAAATCTCATTGAAAACCATTGGGAATTAGGCCCCTTATTGCCATCTGTCCTACTGAGATGGCTAGAAATTGCAATATTGAACACTGATGTTCCAAGCATCAGAGGAGTTTGTGGAAGCCCTAATTTCATTCAAGGATCTCATCTTTTTCTTGTCTAAAGAAACCTGCTTTGTCTAAAGAAATCTGCCTCTAGCCATGTATATTTTACCACTGAATCTTGTCTTTCCAGTTTCCTCAGAACTGCGGAGAACTAGGTTGAGAATGTTTCTTGTTCTTTGCTTAGAATCAGGCTATGAATATAACATATTCTACACAAAAAACATTTGAATTAAAAAGATATTAACAAGTGCAAAGAGCCAGCTTAAAAAAAAAGCATGCTGTACAGATTTTGCATGAGAAGGCTTTTATCACGCTCATTTTTTCAGTTATGTTCATAAATATGATGGGCACTATCTGAATAAGGAAAAGCTATTTGCAATGAAAAGACAGCATTGTGCCAAGATGTTCGTTGAGTTCCAAATCATAGAGCAGCAAGTCAGTTACTGAGTTATCATCCTGACTTCAACACCAGATTCATCTTTCTTGGAGGTTTTCCAGGAAGGTTGACTGCTTGACTCATAGGGTTGAAGTCACTTCAGGTCAACATAAAGCGACCCTAGATTGAAATGGCCAATTGCACTCCCGTGTTATATGAATCACTGAGGTCAGAAGGGGCCTCTGGAGATATCTGGTCCCACCCCCTGCTCAAGCAGTCAGCTACAGCAGGTTGCCCAGGACCGTGTCCAGTCAGGTTTTGAATATCTCCACAGATGGAGACTCCACGACCTCTCTGCACAACTTGTTCCAATTTCAACCATCCTCATAGGATACGAACTACTCTTTCACAACTAAACTTTTGCTCTAGCTGTGTGGAGATTCACATGATGTAAGAGAAAAGACAGAAGTTGAAATAAAGATTCTTATTCAAATGAGAACCAACTGTCTTCTATGTGATAGCAAAATAGGGAGGTTTTTATTCATACTTTTTGGGAGCCTATCTGAGATGACCAACATATTCATAGCTACATTTGCCATTTGAGGTATATTGAACAAAGTGAAATGCTGCCTGTGGAATCACTTAGCTGGAATGTATTCATGA